AGCCATCGCTCTGCCAGAGCCGGTCAGCCTGCTCCAGTTGGGAATCAGTGTTCTGGGCACTGCAAGGGCTCCTGGAGCTCCCAGATCCCATCTGGCCAGCTCAGGGCAGGGGCAGGGCGAGCTGGAGGTGTTCATAGCTTGTAGATATGCTTTACATTTCCGTGTTTCCTGCTGCCTTGCTATAAACAAGGAAATGCTGCATCCCCAAACTTTGGGGACAGGAGCACATCGTGCTGCTTGCATGCACGAGTAGTGCAGATCTAGCAAAGACCACAGAGCATGGCTGATGTTCAGAGCCTGCACCAGGACACTTGTGTACTCTGCCTGTTGCAGACATCCCCACTGCTGACCAGGCATATGGCACAATACATGCTCCAGAGAAGATGAGAATGTCCTTCAGGGAGGGCTCAGACTCTGAAGTAACTCCTCAGCCCCTTCCTCCCCCAGTCAGCACAAGCAGTTTGGTACAGGCAAACCCCTGCACTGCTGCTCTTCTGCCTGGTCTGCAGGCAGCTGTGCAGCAGCAGGGAACTCACCGCTGCCTGCCATGCTCTGCAAGGACTCCCTGTCACCATTTACATGCCACTATAGCAGGGCCAGGTTTGGGTTCCAGAAGGCACTGCAGGGCTGGCAGTGTTTTGCTGGCCACCATAGTGGCTCTGCTGGCATTATGGGCTGGCTGGGAAAGGGCAAATGGCACCTGCCCTGCCAGAAGGACACTGTCCTGGAAACCTGGGAGCAAACTTGAACTGGTGCAGAGATCTGCGCTGCTTGTGATATTGCTCCGAGCTGCTCTTAACCACACTACAATAGATTTACAGTCTGGCTGAAACACAAGCAAGGATTCCTTTGGCAAAACTGTGCTGGGATAAGCTATGCTGACAGAAGAGCACTTAGCTGGTGTATTCTGTGTTTACACAAGAGGAGTGCTTTATCGGTCTAGCTATACTGGCAAATCTCCCCTCAGGCTAACTTGTCTTCTCTCTGCAGCTCTGTTGTGGAGCTGCACGGGCAGAGTCCCCGAGGAGGGGTGGGTCGGTGGGGGGCTGTGGGATCCTGGTGGTGCCTGGCAGGCACTTTGCCAGCCCTGACACACGGGCTGCAGCCCAGCCGGCCCAGCACCCCTCTCTGCAGACACGACATGCTGCGGGGGAAGCCATCATTTGCGTGGGTGCAGCTTGACGTGGTGAGCCCATGTCTGCCACTGGATTTGCATCCATTCGGCTGAGCTGGTTTTGTTTTCCAGCCGTGATTGTTTTCAATTCTAATGCAGCTGAGCACAAGGAAGTGGCGGCCCTGCTCTTCTCTCAGCATTGGAGCTAGCTTTGCAGGGCGACCTGCAGTGCTGCAGCGATGCGACCTGCGACTGCAAGAACTCTTCCCCAACTCTCAGGTTTTCCTTCCATTCCTCGACAGGCCCCACAGCTCCCCAGAGCAAAATTCCCGGTGCCCAGAGGGAGGGAGCAGCTCTCCTCACATCCCTTCCTCACCTTCCTGTGGCTGCAGTCCGAGGCTGTGCTCCTTGGGGCTGTTATCTCAGTGCTGGACCACCACGTCATCCCACAGCACAGATTTGATCTGGACAGGCGTGGGCCCAGGGCTGCCTTCCTGCTGTGTTACTCAATTGCACGTGCTTATGGGCAGCTTTGGTGCTGCTGCTTTTCTAAGTTAGCTTTGGTGACAGTGTGATGGACCACATCTGAATGCAGTGATGTGGGCAAAAGGCATCTCATGCGGCATAAAGCTGCTGGTACCAAGTTAACATCAGCCTCTTTTTTAATTGTACTGGTAGAGCGAATGTGCACTGTCTCAGTGCTTTCCAGTGACAGATTTTTGTACTAGTGGTAAAAGATTTCAAGCTGGTTGAACTATTGCTCAGAGGCATCTGGTCACTGGTTCCTAAATCATTTGGGAAAGGAACATGCGGCTCTTCTCTGAGACAGTTATGGCACAGATTGGAAATCCAGCAAACACTTTTCTTACAGCATTTAAGCTTCTGAGGACTGATCTGTGCCGGGCACTTTTCTCTGCTCCAGCAAGCAGAAATTGAGAACAGGCAGAGAGAGCTGGGAATCAGGCATGAGAGCCACAGCTGTCTGACCACAGTGCTGCTCCTGTGCATAACTGTAATGACAGCAGGCATAGGAAGTCTTGGAGAGTGGCTGCAGGTAGAGGAAAAAAGGGATGGCAGAAAAAAAATTGCATTTCCAAATGTCCAAAGATGCCTGAAATACTGCCTGAATTCAGACTTGAACAGAAGAACCTAGGTAGTATTGGCTCCATTTTTATTTATCACTGAATAGTGAAGGGTTTTAATGCCAATGCAGTCATTCAGGCATCCCAAGTCTGTGTGCTTCTGTAATCATACCTGTATTCAGTTAGAGGAACACCATTAAATGGTCCAAAGTGATGTGAATTCTCACACCTGGGAGTATCTCCCTTGTGCCTCTGCAGCAATAGTGCTGCATGAAGTTTTGCAAATTATTTTGCATAGAAAAAAAAATAGAGTTATTAAAAAAAACAAAATAAATCATGCCCTGCATAGGTTTCCTGCAATGACTGTAATGTCATCACAGAGCCCTGTCTGTGCAGATACACCAGCAACATCAGGTCCTTGAGAATGCAGCTTGGAGTGGGCTTGGATGAATTTGGAGCTCATTTGCTGGCAGCCCCTCACTGCTGCATTATTGGTGTGACTATAAATGATGGAGTGCAACAGGGGTAGAGTTTTTGCCAGCAGATCAATGCTTTCTGCCCAGAGCTCTGCTCCTCTCACCACATGGCAGTGCTGCAGCTCACCCAGCCCTGCCAGCACACCACCAAGGAGGAAATGTGGTGCCAGCAAAACCTCTGCATTTCCAATACATCGCAATTAAGAAAACACCTGTGGTAACCTCTGAGCAGGGATGAGTAATAGAAAAGAGTGGCCTTGTGCTTTTCTTTGCTTCTCAGTGGTAAAAAAAAAGTGAAAGGCTCTGGGGGTATTTGTGTCTACATGATTTTTTGTGTTGCTTTTTTTGTATGGGATATCAGATACGTGTGTGATATCAGTGCATGTGAGTTCAGATCTCCTCTACCCCAGTGCTGGGTGGAAGACTCAGAGGAAGACTATTGAGAGGGATTGCAGGTTTTCAGGAATCTGGACTACAGAAGTGAAAGAGTAAGCAAATTTGTTTTCTTCTCTAAATTGCCCACAGGGAAAATCTTCAGCTTCAGCACACGTGACCCAATTTCTCCACATGGAGGTCATTCTTCTGATTTCATCATCCCTTTGGGATGACTGAAGAGAGAAAGGCAAGTAGAAAAAAGGTGAATAGTTCTGTAAATTCCATTTGTACCATACAGGTACTGCCTGCGTCTCTTCTAAACTCCCTTGGTATGTATCTTGAAGGATCTTTGAAAGTAGAAATTTAATAAATGTATCTATCTGGATTTCTAACCTCATGTGTGTATATGTACATACATGGAGAAGTGGGTATTTGGTGACTGCCCTGAAGGAGCAGATCCTGCAGGATCCTCAGGGCTGGAGACAAGAGCCCTTACATCCCATGCCCACTGTCAGAGGAGGGACTGTCCCCAAATCATCCCCACACTGCCTCAGCTGTTGCCTTCTGAAAGCGTGGTGCATCATTTAAGGCATCAGTCTGTCTGCATATGCCCTGAAAGCAGAGGAAAGGGTAAGGAGAGCATCTAGTGCCATGTTTTACTGTGTAAGTCCAGCGCAGTGATGATGCCTGCTCCTTTTTCTGAAAGGGAAAAGGAATGGAAGGTTCACATTTTCACCCTGAAGGATTTGTATTAGCTGCAGCCTGAACTGCACTGAGCAATGGTTTTTCAGCTCATTTCTATGTCTGCATTAAAAATATTTGCTTTTCTGCTGTTTTGGCCTATGAGATTCCTTCTTTTTGTGGCACTGGCACTTTTATTCCTATTGTAGTATAGGCAATTAGCTGTAGGAATGCATGATCCATCAAGGCTTTATTTTTTAAAGTATTAATTACATATATCATGCCAAAAGCTGTTTCTCTTTCTGCTTTCAGAAAGGAGCTAGATGTATGTATTCTGGTTTCTCATTTAGCACTATGGTGGTTTGAACTCCACTTTTTTGATGTGGAGCCTTCTTGCAGTGCTGACACACACAGCATCCTGCATCCTTTGGAGCAGCGCCAGCTCACAACACCAAAGCTGATGCCATTGCTGCTCCTGCTAGACATAAAACAGAGGGAAAAAAAGGAAAAACGAGATCATCTCTCCAGCATGGACAGACACAGGCATGGACAGTCACAGCCCTGAGGAGGCACCTCAGCATCATGGGGTAGCCATGCAGGGGTCTTGGGAAGCATAACTCCAACCTGCCAGAGCTCAGCACTGCAACTCTTGCTTTCTTTGAAGGATGAGATGGAAGTAAATGCAGCTGCAGTGACATTCATGTTCATTGCCTGCCTCTGAGGCAGGGCCAGTCTGAGAGCTGGGCTCGTGCTCACCCTGCCCTGTGCTGTGGCTCAGCCCCATCTCCCGCCGTGCACAAAACTTTGTGCGTGCAGCTCCGTGCAGGAGCCCCAGGCAGCCGTGCCTCGCTGCTGAGCCTCTGCCACATGCCATGCCACATCTAACCTAGGGCCCCGAAGTGCCGGGTGTCAAAGTCTGTCACTTCTGCCCATGCATTGCTAAGCACAGCCTCCTGGCGGGCAGCACGCTATGGCCAGGGGATTCTGCTCCTCTGGGAGGGAGCGGGGAGGAAGCAGAGCTGACTTCGCGTTTATTAAGCAAATTAATAGGTTGGGAAAAAAAGCAGCTGCGATTCGGGCACGCTTTCCCCTCGCCTCCTGCATTAGTGAGGGCTGGCAGAGAGGCAGGCAAAGGGCACCGACCGCGCGTTCCCAGCCCACAGCTCTGCGCTGGGGGCAAAGGATGCTCGCAGTTCCCTGTCCCGCCGCACCTCCGGCGCCGCTGTGGTTCTGATGGCCGGGGGTAAAACCCTCTGCCACCTCGCGGGGTGCGGGAGGGATCCCGGAGCCAAACCTCCCGGGCTGCCGTGCGCGCAGGGAGACTCCCGCCGGTCAAGGATGCTCCCGGTGCCAGCAGCCACGGGAAAATCCCCCCCCCACGCCTCCAGGGCGGGCGTTTTTGTTTGGTTGGTATTTCGGGGGGGCTGCGCAGGCGCGCTGCTCTGCGCCCAGGTGCTCGTTTCCCCCGTAGCTCTGCAAGACGGGTCCGGATGGCAACGACGTGCCCTGAGCTTAGCCGGACCCTCACCCAAGGAAGCCCCCCGTAGAGCCCGGCTGAGCTGAAGTCCTACTCTCCCAGCGCTCCCCACACGCGGCGTGGAGTCACACGGAACGGCTCCGGGGCCGCGGAACTCTTTGTGCTGCTCTGCAGCAGCCGAAGCGGAAAGCCGGGCAGGTTTCTGCGGCGTTAAGGACAGAGATACGTACGCGTTTAAATAATTTTTTATTTAAAAAATAGGAGGGAAGAGGGATGTAACCAATTAGCATCTCCACGCTGTCCTATAATTGCTGCCAAATAAGAAAACTACCGAGTGGGGCAGCGGGTTCTGCTCTGCTCCCCGAGAGCGCGCACACCTGGGGGTGCTTTACGGCCCCCTCGGGAAGATGCAGCCTCGTAAAAAAAAGAGCGTGCGGGGGGAGCCGAGCCTGCACGCAACCGGCAGCCCGTCCTCCTTGCAAATAGGCGACGTCCGTAAATAAGGGCACTGTTGTTTTTTTTTTTTTTTTTCCCCTTTTTAATAAGTCAGGAAAGCCGCCACCTGCCAGGAGCCGCCTCACCTCCCAGCTGCTCCATCGCCTCCCGCCCAGCCGGCTTCTCTCCGGGTTAGGTGTGAACGTGGGGGGGCTGCAGCAAGCCGCGCTTCGCAGCGTTTCCCTCCCCCCCCCAACCCTCGGAAGAGGCCCGAGGTGCTCCGAACAGCCCTCGATAGCAGCACCGGGACTGGGCTCGGCAGCGCCGCTGGGGGTCCGGGGATCCCTGCGGGAGGGGCGGCTCGAGGGCTGCGCTCCACACCCCGTGCTCAGCCTCCTCTGCTCTCTTGGTTGGTTTTCTAGGAAGCCAAGGCGTCCTTTTGTTTTGGTAATTTCTTCTAAATCCCTCTTTCACGTATCTACTTATCTATATAGGTGTACGCAATCAAATAGTGAGCCGAATTCGTCTGCGTTCTTTAGTCCACTGAAGTAAACAAAACGAAGGTGTTCAGATCTTGAGAATACCAAAAAAAGAGAAAAACTGCGTCGCCCCTCAGTGTGACGTTTGTGAGCAGAAGGGAAACTGTGGTAAAAACGCCCACGTTGCTGCACCGCAGGATGCCTTCGGGAGGAAGGAGGGCGATCTTCCCAAACCTGGGGAGCTCGACGGTTCCCCTCCTCGTTTCTCTTTAAATCCATCTTGTCCCTTTAATACAAATGAACTTTAAGCTCCCCCTGTCTTTTATTATTTAGATTCCTAGTCTTAATGACGCCAGGAGCCGCGCGAGCACACTCGCTAATAATCGTCGTGAACTGCATTTCAAAGAAACATCCCTGGAAGAAAAACACCGTCGTTAAAAAAAATAAATAGAGACTCCACCAAAAATGATAATGCGGAGTCGCTGCTGCTGCTGGGCTCAGCGCAACGCTGCAAATCAGCACCTGCGTGCCAGGTCGGGCTGATAACACCGCCAACGGTTACCTGCAGCAGCCCCGTCCGCCTCGGATTTATTTTTGGATCGTTCATTTAATCAGTGAGAGCTGCTGAGGGTGTTTGGTTTTAATTGTTATGGTGGTGTTTGAGTTTTTTTGTTTGTTTGTTTGTTTTTTATTTCTTCCCCGATCTTCAGGAAAAAAAAAGTGGCGGAGGTTCGGTCAGGTCGCGATCCCGGCGTGGTTCCGCCCGCAGCCTTTCGGAGCAGCTGCCGGGCACGAGAGCTGAGCACTGACCGGGTTCGGCTTTGTCCCGAGCGCAGCAAACCCGCAGCCGCCGCTCTCGTATAAACGAGTGGTGATCCGGACCTTCCAACACTGCGAGATGTCGCTGCTTTTGAGCACGACGTTCATTTTGTCCGAGGCGCAGCGCCGCAGGGATGGGGCGGCTGCGGGGGCAGCGCTCTGTGCCGTCGGATGGAAGCGCGCTGCGTGAAAGCCGCGGCACCGCCCGCACCGCCGCGCATCGGGGACGCTCCATCAGCGCTGTTTTACCTAGGAGGGATTGAACCCGGCTGCAATAACCTTGTCGGATAATTAAGCAAATTATACCTTAACCATCGGTAGCTTACAAGTTGTAATCAGTAATTCAAACTCCCGACAATTATGCAAATTGCGCTCGGGCTGCGCTCGGACTTTTTCTCGCTTTCGCGGCGAGGGCTTTGCCGGCGTTCCGAGCAGCAGCCGCCGGAGCCGCGTGGGTTGGGAGTCCGGGCGCACTTCCACGCGGGGGGCGGCCGAACAAACGGCACACCTCCCACCAAGAATAAACCACAGCCACGGAGAAGGAACGCGGCACTTCAGGGGCTGCCCTCCTCGCGGCGCTCCCGCAGGCGGTGCCCACGCGTGACCCCTTCCCGCGGGCCGGGGCCGCTCCGAAGGTGGGTGGGGGGGTCCGGCTCCGCGCAGCCTCCGCGGGCGCGCAAGGAGTGGCTTAGGGCCACGCTGCCTCCTGAGTGGCTGCCGGCCGCGGCTCCCGAGCCATCCCTGGGGAGGAGTTATGATAATCCTATTGCCATTAAGGGCGTCTGGGCAGGGAAAAAAACCCGAGTGACCATTAGCGCGGGGGTTTAGTCCGCCAGCAGCCTTCATGCCTGCCAACTGAGCTCCGTCCGGGGGGCAGCTCCTCTTCCCCAGTGCCGACGTGGATTTACCGCCCGTGGGGGGGGGCTGAGCTCTCGTCTGCTTTCGGTACCGCACACCTGGGTTGGACGCTGGACGCCATGTTGTGGAAACTGGCAGATAACGTCAAGTACGAGGAGGACTGCGAGGTGAGAGGCGCGGGGAGGGGGCGGCGGGGGTCGGGTTGGCGGTGCGAGGCAGCGCCGCGTTGTGCGGCCGCGGGGCTCTCCCCGCTCGGTGGTGGCTGTACGCGTCCCTCCGCCACACGGAGTCCCTCCGTTCCCCGAGCCCTCTCCTTTTCCTTTTTACTTCGTTTAGGATTTCTGATTTTATTATTTTTTTCTCTACCAAAACTTCTGGACGTTAAAATAAAAAGGGGTATTTTCAGTTGTAAGGAGCTGGAAGTAGCGCCTTACGGCACGGGATTTTGCCCCGTGCAGTGAATCGGAGCAGTAAAAGTGGGGAGGACGGAGCACAGCCCCGAGCATCGCAACTGTCGGACCGCTCCGGGGCACCGGCCGTAAGGAAAGCCGCAGTGCGCCCTTCTCGCAGCCCCGCGGGACGATCTTGGGCTGCGGTCTCAGTCTGCCCGGTTCTGCCGGTCATCGTCTGCCTGTCCGGTTGCTGCAGATTAGCTGCAGCCCCCGCTTCACGCTCCATTGGGACCCTATTCACCTCCTATTAACCAGCGCTGTTATTTTAACGACCGTGAAGACTGAAACTGCTAAATCTCGGGATCAGCTTCATGTAGACGTTTAGGCTTTGACTGCTGAGGTTTTGAAGTGGGGGTTGGCGGGGAAAAGCGCGTCCAGTTCCGACCGCGCGCTGCAAAGCCGTCGGGTCTGGGAATGGAGCCCTTCCGCGGGGCGCGGAGCCGCCTGTGTTGCGGGTCTGGGTGGAAGCGGGCCGATGCCTTTTATTTTTTTTTTCTTTTTAATGGTTGTTCTAAGGTGTTGATAGATTCTTGGAAGTGTAGGGGTTACTGCGGTGTATTTGTGATGAAACTGGTGGGAGTTGGTTCTTAAGTTCTTCCCTGGAAATTGGGTTGATTTCCTACGAAATGCCTGAAAATAGAGAAGGGCGGCTTTTGCCTCCCCCTCTCCTCACCCCCCGCTCCCTCCCAAATTGTTCCCTGTTGTCGTGCCTCGAGCGCCCGGCGCCTGCTGCCAGCAGCCCGGCAGCCCCTGACCGCCGCCTCCCTTCTCCTCCCTCCCCCTTCCGTGTGATTTCCAGGACCGCCACGATGGGAGCAGCAACGGGAACCCGCGGCTCCCGCACCTCTCGGCGGTCAGCCAGCACCTGTACAGCCCGGCCCCGCCGCTCTCCCACTCCGGAGCCTCCGACTTCCAGCCTCCTTACTTCCCCCCCCCTTACCAGCCGCTGCCTTACTCCCAATCCAGCGATCCCTACTCGCACCTCGGGGACCCGTTCTCCATCAACCCGCTGCACCAGCCGCCGCCGCCGCCCCCCAGCCAGCAGCAGAGCGCTTGGCCCAACCGCCAGAGCCAGGAGCCCGCCGGCCTCCCCCCGCACGGCCGGCCCGGCCTCGTCCCGCACCTCTCGGCGCTGGAGAGCGGCTCGGCCGGCGGCCGTCGGGAAACGTTCCGGCGTTCCGACCTCTTGTTGCCCCACGGACACGGCCTGGATGCCTCGGCGCTGGCCGACAACCTGGGGCTCCACGACATGGCCCATCAGATAGAGGATGTACAGGTAACCACCCCTCACCCCGCAGGCTGCGGATGCCCGAGCGCTCAGCCCAGCTTTGCCGCCCCATCCTCGGAGGGAAAGTCGCTTTTTCTCTCCTCCCGGCCCCGAATGGGGCGGGGTGGGCTTCGCGACCCCTTCAATTAATTCCTCCTCACGTCTCGAGATGCAAAACTTTCTCCCGTTTCTCTTTGCAGAACGTGGAAGACCAACACTTACTAATGCACGACCAGACGGTCATTAGAAAAGGTGAGTAGGGCGGCACGCCGCTCCCTTTCCCTTCTCAGTGGTCACGTTGGGTGTCGCGGCGGCGCAGGGACGCTCCATTATCTCCTAAAGTGGAGCTGGGGGTGGTTCTGTGTGTGCTGCGTTCTGCGCTGCCTTCGGCGAGAGGGGCAGCCCCGGAGCCGCCCGTCCCCGCTGTCGGTGGTCGTGCCTCGGCCGTGCCCACCCCGTGTGCGCGGCGGGGCTGAGCGTGGTGTTGGTCGGTGCGGGGCTGCCGTAGTCCTGCAGCTCTTAGTAGGGAGCTCAGCTCGGTGGCGGCCCTTTTTCCTTTCTTTCCTTTTTCTTTTAATCCCCTCGTTTCCCTTATTTGCCATCAGCTCGGTGCCATGAGCCTGGTCAGGTTTACCTTAATCGAAGTGGTTTTGCAGTGAGAGCAGCAGTGACTCAGTGCAGGAGTTTGGTGTAGGGCTTTGGGGAGTTTTTTTTTTTTTTCCTCCTCCTTTTGTTTTTAAACAAATTCGTACTCAAAGAAAAAAATATATATATATATATCAGTGGAGGTTTTACTTTGAAGACTTCAAACGAACACCGAACTGAGGAAAAGCAGAAGTGCCGGGCAGGGCACTGATTGCTGCCTTCAGCTCATGGGAGAGTGATTTCGCTGTCAGATGGAGCGCGGCCGAATCCTTCCCATCGGGGACCGCGGCCCTTTAACCCATTCGGGGCGGTGGGTCAGCGGGGAGCAGTGATCTGTGCTGCATTGGCCCCGTTCAGCCACACACAACCGTGTTTTGCTCTCAGTTCTCCGTTGGGCTTCATCCCCCCAGTACTCCCTACTATGAATTCGGTGGAGTTCAGTTCCAGAGGTGTTCTCTCATGTGTGTCTGGGGTGGAGGATGAGCCCGGTGGAGCCTTTCCCTGTCCTGGCTGAAGGATGCTGGCACAGCTTGCAGCTAGATCAGCTTCTTAGAAGAAATGATGCAGCATGCGAGACAGCAAATCCTAGCTTTTTGGGGTAGGACTGAGGGATGTCCTTATGTGCCTTTTATTTATTTTTTTAAGCCGTGTTCTCTCGGCTGCTCCTTGCACCGGACCGTGGCAGACCACAGCTTTGTTCAGCAGTTCAGTGCAGAACGAAATCGCTCTCCTGCCCTCCCCCCGCACAAAGCAGACCCCCTTGCCGCTTCTCTCTCCGGTTCTAAAATACCCGCTGCCCTCCTCCTCCCACAGGTCCCATTTCCTTAACGAAGAACAGCGCTCTGAGCCTCCCCTGCCAGAAGGACGGACTGATCGGAGTGGTCATAAACCCCAATGAAGTGTTCTGCTCCGTGCCGGGGCGGCTGTCCCTCCTCAGCTCCACATCCAAGTACAAAGTGACAGTGGCGGAGGTGCAGAGGCGGCTCTCCCCCCCGGAGTGTCTCAATGCTTCTCTGCTGGGAGGTGTGCTCCGAAGGTACGCTGCAGCCCGGCCAATATTTGTCACTTTTATGACAGTATTATTATTTTCCCCCATGTGCGTATTGTGTGATTGCAGCCAGATGAGGACAATGAGGAGCTCAGAGCCCTTTATCAAACTTCAGCTTTTTAAGAAGCCCAGCAGCGCTGAATCCTAATGGGCTTTGGAAATCTGCTTTGCTCTTGTGCCTCGTATGGGGAGCAGTGCTGCTCACAGCCCTGACAGCAGCGCTCCTTCTCTGTGTAACGGCGGATTTTGTCTCAAACTGCTCGTGGAGCTTTCCTCTTCCTGTAACAAACCATCTCCCATGGAACGATTTTTTGGATTAAGTCTCATGATCTCGTTTTGTCTTTACAAAGATGCTCTGTATGTCTGGGATTTTGTTTTGTTTTGTTTTTTAACACAATTTGGCTTCTGATTCTTCTCCAGCTGCTGGTTTCAGCAGTGCAGTTTGACACATTTTGATTTTGACCTCTGCTGTGTTTCATCCTGGCTGGTTTGTAGCAAAGCGTTTAAAAGTAGGTCATTGGGAAAGAGAGCCTGCTTTTTATCTTACCCCCAGTAGAACCCTATTGAATGTCAGTAACTGCAATTTCTCATCTTTATTTAAAAAAAAAAAAAAAGTCTCTTGAAGATAAATAAGACTTTTTTTTTCTAATTACAGAGCCAAATCTAAAAATGGTGGCAGATCGTTAAGGGAAAAGCTGGATAAAATTGGTTTGAACCTTCCAGCTGGTAGAAGGAAAGCTGCAAATGTGACACTATTGACATCTTTGGTGGAAGGTCAGTCCTGAACACGTCTTAAAAATAAACATTCTTTCCCTCGTGCACAGCTTTTATCCTCCTAAACAAAGCACGGGAAGGCCGACAAGTCAATGGACTTCTGAGGGGGGGGTTGTTTATTTTGAAGTGAGTGCAACGTGGGGGCACTGCAGTGGCTGCTGTGCTGCCTTGGGTTGTGCTCCCCTCTGCCCCCCCGACCTGCCAGCACAGGGCTGCGTGCCCCCACCATAGGGCAGGGTGCTGCAGGGAGATGCCATTCCTCCCGTGTGCGTGCCAGGCTCTGCAGAACGCCCCGTCTGTCCAGTCTGTGCTCCCTGTTTGGGGTTTTGTCTGGGTGTGTGCAGGAAGGGCAAAAGGGATGAAACTGGGTTTGGTTCCCCACTGGGAAACTGGAGAGATGTGGGGCAGCTGCTCTGGTGCCCGGCCCTCCCTCAGCAGCGTCCTCAGAAGCTTTGCTAATAAATGTAGGCGTATAAAGTGAGATTTATAGCTTCTGGCTTCCTGATGGGAAACTGGAGCCCCTTTAATCTGCAGCATGTTATGTGGACCCTCTTGGTTAAGTTGAGTTGAAGGGTGTGTATATATGGATGTGTGTGGCTGTGGGTTGTGTTTGTTGAAAGCAGCTCCTGGTAGTGCTACAGCTTAAAGGGAGTGGAAGCAGTAACTGAAACGTGAATGGTCCAGCAGTGCCTCACTGCTATTTCATTGCTGCACAAACTGGAGTAATACAGCAGCTTCCATTAAAAACACTTAGAATTTGCAGTTGAAAGCTTCTGTATGTATGCACACACACACAGGCATTGCGTGGAGCAGCACTTTGTGCCAATCCATTTTTCTTAAGCCTGATGAAATTACCCTAATGAAAAAAAAAAAAAAACCAACAGCTGAGTTATCTGCCTTCCAAAGGTGGTTATTATAAAACAGAGATAGAAATGCATTAAAGGGAAAAATCTTATTACGTTGGTGGAATTTAGTTGCGTGTTTTCTTACGTATCAGTGGGAAATTAGTTGTAGAACAAATTCCAGTCTTTGCTCTGCAGTGAATCTGCATAGAGACAAAAGCAAAGCTTTTCTTTCCAGTAAGAAGGCGAGGGAGTTCTATTTTGTAGCTGTCATCACGTCGGTTTTTCTTTTTGATGGAAACTTACAAAGAAACACTGATAATTGCTGATCAGAGGACGGTAATGAATGGTATAGTGAAAAAAACAGAAGTGTCCCTTTCCAAATGAGAATAACACTTCCAGAGTTCGCCCTGCTTTAATTTTCCTGATCTCCCAACAATAAATAGGCATTGCAACATCTGTAACGAGCTCTCCCTTCTGCCTGCCGCAGGTGAAGCTGTGCACCTTGCTCGTGACTTCGGCTACGTGTGTGAGACAGAGTTCCCCTCCAAGGCTGTGGCTGAGTACCTGACCCGGCCGCACATGGGCCGCAACGAGATGGCCAACAGGAAGAACATGCTGCTGGCTGCCAAGTGAGTGCGGGGCTGGGGGTGTTTCAGGAAAATGTATCCTAAGGTGCGACAGAACTGAGTGCCTGGGGGCAGGTGTGGCTGGGGAAGATGGGAGTGGAGGGCTGACCTGTCTGTGTGTGTATGTGCAGCTCCACGGAGCTGCTGGTGGGCACAGGGGGGCAAGGGCAGCTCAGCCTCAGGTCCTGGCTGCTGTCAGCAGTAGGAATGGACTGATGTCCATCACAGGACTCCAGGAATCAGAAGCTGTGGATGGTCCCGTTTCAGTGTTGGAGCTGAAGATCTTCAGTGAAAGGCAGCCTTTAGCAGATGGGAAAAGTCCCTGTTCTTTACTGAATTCTTAGAAATCTTGGGGAGGGGAAAGGTGAAGGAGAAGCTCTGTTAGAGCTCCTCTGCAGGACACCTGTATCCCAATTACCCACACGCTGAGCAGGGCCGTGGCTGGCAGCACCTGTTACTCTCATTATAAACCAGGGGCTGGAGTGCTCACTGTCCTCTGCCCATGCTGAGGTTTAACCAGGCCCTCTGTTCTGGTCTGAGACGTTTTCTGGGTGGGGTTGATGCAATTTCTTGCTTTTGAAAGCAGCGGTTCCATGCAGAGGATCTGAGAAAATCCTGTTTAACTGATGAGAAGAGTTGCCCTAGTTGTGTGCTCAGGTTAAGCAAGCAAAATCCTGTGCAGAGGTTCCACACTCCACCTGTTCTTGGTTTAATCTGGCTTTCCCTGAGAAAGAGACTGCTTTTACAAGACTGCATTTCTTAGAAATAGATTATCTCTTTCCTATAGCTTGAACTTTATGCTTTCTATTGAACACTAATCCTTTGGCTCCTCAGTATTATTATTGGCATTGCTATTAACACCAGTAACAGTCATCTTTTGGAAGATGTTTCAGATTGAGAAATTCTGATAAAGTGATGATTCTGTGAAGATTGCTCATCTCATGTGAAATCACATCGAGGGGACAGATTTACAAGCAGCAAACAACATATGTTGGAGCGTTATTAACCATTCATGTTTTGCCAGGCATATGTGTTCGTGTTCGCAGGATCAGGGCCTGGGTCCCCATTAAACAGAGCATATACACATAATATGCACAACTAGATTGAATCTCCTGTTCAGCTGCTTCAGTCTTCGTAAATCACCGGGCTGCAGCTGCAGATGTTCTCATAGAATCTGGCCCTAAACCTGTGCTCTGCCTTAAATCCAGCAGCGGTGGGGTGCTGTTCTGCAGAGTGGAGACGTGTTGGTGTGACACAGATCAAACAGCAGGCTTGTCAGGAACTGATCCTAAGGAATAAGCTTTAAATTTAGGTTGTGAAGAACACCCCTATCTTGTAATGAATTTCTGAAACTCCGTTCCTACATAGCTGCCAAATAGTTGACGGGGATTTGGTTGTTTTATTTGCTTTTGCATAAATTTGCACCGTGGTGTAAAGCACGCTCTCTTTTTGTGTCTTGCAGGCAGATCTGCAAGGAATTCACAGACCTCCTCACTCAGGACAGAACTCCGCTGGGAAACACGAGACCCAGTCCCATCCTGGACCCTGGCATCCAGGGCTGTTTGACTCATTTTAGCCTGATCACACATGGCTTTGGGAGCGCTGCCATCTGTGCTGCCATGACATCCGTCCAGAACTACCTAAATGAAGCATTAAAAATAGCAGACAAAACATACATGAACACTGGAGACCAGAGCCCTGCAGAAACCAACAAAACCATCGATAAAATGGACAAGCACAGGAAGTAAAGGAGAAAAAAACAGACTTTACTCTTCCTCCTTAACGCAGACTGGGATCTTCTTGCCCGGGGGGAACGTAGCAATTTGGGTACTTTTTTTTTTTTTCTTCTTTATTAAGAAAGGAGGGAAAAGGAAACAAGAACAACAAAATCATTCAGGATCTTCACTCCTCCTGGATCCGGGAGACAAGTCTTTCCAAAAGCTGCAGTGTCCCTTCTCTGTGGAAGCAGTGACCTGAAGATAAGTACTTGGTACCCGTGTGTTGCCATCCTTTGCTGTAAAAGTGGTGCTATAAGGGTTTCTGTTGGAAATAGACTAAGAGATGAAATACATAGATTGCTTTCCCACATCTCGGTACCTGGTGGCAACCAGCTTTGTGTGTAGTTCTTAACAGATTTTACATGGGAGGTTATTTGTTATCAGATAAATTTTCAGGGTTTTATTCTCTCTTAATACAACAGCAACAGTAAAGCAGTATTAAACAATGCTATATAGATTTATGTACATTAAAAATTTTTTACAGACACCTGAAAATAGTAAGATTTTTCTTTTTTTTTTTTTCTTTTTCCCTTTATTTTCAGATTACCGTAAGAGAGTGCTAAAATCCTGGTGGATAAAGTTATCTGGTGGCATTGGTCATACTGATTTTTATGGAAATGTTCAGGCTTTTAAACACTGCAGTAATGTTGGCTGCAGTGGAAATTTTCTCGGTATTTTTTTAATGAGGACCAGTACAAAATGAAAACACTTAGAAAATTCACTTTCTGTGTTTGAGGATATTGCAGCTTTATTCACATATTTATATTGTCTTTTTTTTTTTTTTTTAAATTGGGGGGAACTTGGAAAAATAGGCACATAACTTTTTTTGAACTTTTTTTTTTTTTGCCTCGTAAGGCCAAAAAATAATTTCCAGGGAGGCTTTATGTGTATTAAGGGAAGCAGTGTGTTGAATGTAAATAGTAATTTATGTGTAATTTAATCGGATTTGTAAATAATGGTGAACTTTTTAATACTTTTTTTTTTTTATAAATGGGTTTTCAGATTTTAATTTTGGTAAGTATTTCAAAGGTAATGGGTAAGCTAAACGTATCTTTAGGTTTATGCACAGGTATGTTATACAGGGTATTTAAGACTTGTTTTTTTTTTTTTTAATATTGCGATTCTTGCCACTGAAAATGGAATCTAATCTGAGGTGTGTGTTCACAAAGCAATAACTTTGTGCATCACCCACCCGACAACTGACCAGACATGCAAAATGAGTGTGTGAGTTCGTGTGTATGTGAATAATGGAGGTTCTGAACTATCTTTACATATTTGTAAATGTTCCCGCTATAATTCTGATGTATATGATAACCATATAATAAAAAATATTCTGGATAGAAGCATGGAATGTTTTGTTAACTGAGCACAGTTGGGTTTTCTTTCTATACTTGGGGAATGTGGGGCGAGTAGCACTAGAGGACATTATGTATTGAGTCATAATTGCAGCACTTTGTTCAGATTAACAGAACAGAAATACGGAGCTGTTTGCCAGTAAAACTAATGGTTTCAATTAAACATGCTATGTATCTCCAAGAATCTTTCTTTTTTTTTCCCCCTTCCTAAGATGTCATGATCATGCTAGCTGCCTATTTAAGTGGAACACAAACTGAAATCTAAACACAAACTGCAAGGCTTCCTCTAAATAAAAATCAATCTCTGCAGCTTTGCCTTCCAGTGAATCTGCCCTTATTGGAATAATTTGTCTCTCTAATGATAAATATTTGCAGAATCCTGGCATGTGAAATGTGATAGATGTGCCATCTGGTTTCAGTGCTGTAAGGAATTTTGCAGAAAGTCCTCAAAGTGGTGAGGCTGCATCTGAGGCACTCGCCGTCGCAGATGCAACAGCAGCCAAATAAAGCTTCCTGAAGGGGGACTTGCATGGCAGGGCTTCCTAAAACAGGAGCAATGCCAGCTCTGCCTTCGTGCTGCCCCTGAAATTACGGCACCTGATGGATGCAGCTGTTGTGGGGCTGGGGCAAGTGTTGCAAATGATGGCACTGGACAAAACAGCAAGAGAATGCAATTCAAACTGCAGCAGTGTGGTGTGTTTTTCACAGTTGCAGATAATAAGCAACAGATGCAACCAAAATATTCAAAGTTGTAAATTCTTTCCTTATTCTCACTATTTTGCCTCTGAAATGTAAAGGCAAATTTCTGAAGGTGTACAGGTAGAAGGAAGGAGGGGGAAGCTCAAAGAAAGAAACAAACTTGCTGTTAGCAGTGAGCTCGGGCAAAGCCTGTGTTGTAGTTTGAGTTGCAACTCAGCTCCCTGCTTGAGAGCTGTGAAGTTCCTGTTCACATTGCTTGGGCCTATTGTTACGTTGGAAAAATGAGCACTTTGGTCATCTGTAAACAAATGTACATTAATTTATATCTGTGTATTTCACCAGTTCTCTGTATTGTATATCTACCCGCAGAAATATGCTAGGTATGGTGAGAGCTAAAGGACAATTGCTTGTCAGAATGATGCCAGGTTGATTTTTTTCCCCCCTTTTTGTACTGTTTGACTGCTTATACAGTGTATACAGTAAGATTTTAGCTGCCAGACAATGGAATCTTGCTTTTTATTAGTGCACAAAACCAGGCTCTGAAAATAATTGCCCCGTGGGATAGGAAATAAGGATCTTTCCATTTATTCTTGCATGCATTCAAACAAAGCCAGTCAATTGTCTAATGTACTGGCTCGGGTTCTATTTATATGTTTGGAACACTAGAAATGTTGAGTTTCCATTACCTTAATGCTTTTCCTCTACTGTATGTTTTAGACGGTACATTATTTTGAGGCTCAGCTTCCTCATCTGCTCTGCAGGCACATGAAAGAACAGTGTCTTCTGCTCCATTCGCTGGGGAGAACAGTTAAACTGACCTGAACTTGTCTGTCAGCTGAAACGATTTCAGGAACATGCGATAGGTTAGTGATTTCGGAGGGAGGCTGGAAAGCAGTTACCCGAACAGGAGGGTTGGAGGGTTGGTTTGTTTCTTTATCCCTCTTCAAACTTTCACACTTAGTACTGCTTTTACACTATAGCTCTTCTGAGGCAGGAAGTCAAAACAGGCCATTTGAAGTACTAACACTGCCAATGTAGGTGCAAATGTCAGCCTCTGCTCCTGGAATCATTTGACCTGATGGCTGCCTTGCTTTCATTTGAAGATTTTTTTCATGGCCTCAGAGGGAAATAATGATGAAAAGTTACTAATATGTAAGAAGAAAAGGAAGCATGGGTCTGACTTGCTGCAATACCCTGCTGTGTAGATTAGTTGCAATTTTTTCCCCCCCTGCATATGATGTTAATGCATGTTGCAGATGGAACCATGCGAATGAGAATTTACTCCTAATCCCTGGCTGCAGCCAGCTGCATTGTGCCTTTGCACACTGTGCTATATCTAAACCAGTTGTGGTCTCATAACATTCCTGTGACACGCGGCTATTGCTGCTTTTCCCTGTCACGTTATCTGCAGAGCTGCATGGATGACCATTTCTATGCTGGAACCATTTGCTGTGTTCTCTTTCATTTTCACTTTCACAGAGTTACATAAATAAGATTTCTCCTGGTCTCTCATGCCATTTTTATTGGACATTGTTGCTCGTCTTAACGTGGGTATCCCTACTTGTTTCTATGGGCCATTATTGTGTAAGGTCTGCCCACAATAGCCTATTTTTCTTCTCTGATGGCTGAACAACCCTCCTTAGCCCTCTGCTGAAGCCCTGGCTCCCAGGCTGTGACTGGTGCATGACACATTCTTTGAATATTCCCCTTGATTTATATTTTTACCCATTAATTTTAATTCAAACTATGTACCAACTCTCACTTTCTATGCTGTGAAACTCAAAATTCCTGCTTTCTAATAGAGCAGAAAGTTCAGAGATCTACAATATACAAAACAATAGAATTAATCTTTTAGCTGAACTTCAGAGTTTATATTTCCAGGTCAAACCACCACCAACTAAAGAAAAATAACTGGGTAAGATGCCTTCATACAGTGTATCTGTCACTGAACAGCGGAGTTCTTCAGCTGATCACTGCAATACAAAACTGATTCCTAGTTAGTTGAAAGACTTTATCAGTAGCAACAGAAAGCAGTTTAAAATGATGCTGTATCCCTGTTAAGGCAGGGTTGCTAAACAAAGAAGGGATAGGTTCCTACCAATCTCAAGGAGAAAGAAAAGAAACAGACAAAAACCATGAGCCTTGCAAGGCTTTGAGGCATACTGAGTGAAATGCATTACTCTGCCTCTTGTAAGGTACAAAGATGCTATTTCCTTAGTATCGGGCTGTTGCACCTCTGCTTGTGGCTGGGAAACCTGAAACAGCCCAAAGGGGTGAAGAAAAGACCTGCACCCATCAGCCTTGCTGCCAGGGCTGCTGCTGTGGGCTAGTCTTCAGCCTCTGCTCCCTTCTCTGCTGGAGGACAGTGGGACAAAGGCTGAGCAGAGCCTTGGTGCAGCCTGGCAGCTGGGTGCTGCTGGAACTGAGCTGCGTGCTGGACGGGGAGCTGGAGCAGCTGGGATGGAGGTGCGCGTGGTTTTGGCTATGCAAGAGAAACGGTAATTAACCTCCAGCACAGGGGCAGGGCAGGTAGCTGGGGCCAGTAATTTTCTCCAGCCCGTGCTGCAAAATTTACCTGAACTCATTTGTCAAGCTTTGAATCCTTAAATCTATAACTCTAATTAATTAGGAATCTCTAATTAACCCAAAATGGCACTCTGTATTTAAGGCTAAGGTGTGGTGAAATCCAGAGAAAGAAAACATGAGAGAAGCTGGCGGATATTTAGAGCTGGAGATGCCTGAAAATGTGCGTTTTCAGAGCTCAGGTGCACGTAGGTGCAAAGGAAGCCCTGTGGCTCTATGTGTCAGTGGGACTGGGAGCAGGTCCTGAGCTGCTAGAAGCCACTGTCTGATATTTGGACATCTATCCTTGGGTGTCTTACAAGTTCCCTTTTTTCAGAAAGCAATAACCACCAAACCTTCCAGCAGGAAGTTCCTGCATCACAGATATATAACCAAGCAGCCTTTAGGACTTAAGCCCAACTGTATTTTCTGTTCCAGAAACACATTGGATGAGGCTCTAGATATTTACAACTTTGAACCAGAAACCCCAACGGGGATATTATTGAAAACATCAGTGCAGACAGGTTCTGGCCCTGCCTTCATAAGAGGAAAAAGCCCTTTCACAGTTGAGGTATTATTATATTAAGTTGAAAATTTATAGTTTTTAACTAGGCTGTGACCAGTTAATGTGACTCAGGAAAGGCTGTAAGGTGGATGGAGGCTTTACCACTTCGCCTCACTGCAGAGGTTACTGTTTTTCCAGACCTCACACATGAGGAGCCTAATCAAAGCAGGTTTAGCAATTAGGCTGTGAGGTCACCTGATTAACTGAGGGGCATCAGCTGGGTTTGGGGCTGATTGACTTTAGCAGAGCTGCAGCTAACAACCCAAAACATTTCTTTCCCAGTGTTTGCTGCTGGGCTGGATTTCTCTTGGACTTACCTGCACCAGCATTTCAGCAAAGGTAATGCTTCTCCTCAGTCTGCTGTGTGTGTGTCAGGGTGTACATCTCTATGTGTGTGAGGCTGTTGTGATGACGTTAAAAGAGGAGAAAAATTATGCATGTTTCTATACAGATGGGAGGGTCTCCTGTTCAGAGCCTCAAGTCTTATTTTCTAGCTCCAACAGCATGAAATCTTTGTGTTGCCTTGGCAAATAAAAGCTGTATTTAGTGGCTTTGTCTGGTGGAAGACAGAAGTGGATAAGATTCAGGTAAGGCTGTTTTGAGGTGTTCCACTGTAGAGGGTTTCCAGGGATTTGTTGCAGAAAAACTGCTTGTCCAGAGGAGAAAACTACTATAAACGTTAACGAAGATGACTGTAAAGTTAATCCTTACTTAAGACTTCTGAGGACTTGAATGCTTGGCATTAAGAAGCAATGGCACTGCAGCTAAAATGCTGTTTGTTGGAAAGGTATGGGGTAATCAATTGCACCTGGAGGACAAAGATGAGAATGAGTTGCTGGGTGCTGGTGAAAAGGAGAGTTTGAGTGTGGCAGAAACATATTAAATCAATTATGATGCTTCCTTTTCATTCATTTATCTTATGTAACACAAGTTATGAGGGGAGGGGGAAAGAAAAAAAAAAGAAAGAAAAGACAACCATAATCAGCTGATTGGATTGCTTCAAATAGTAATGTTTGCCTGGGCTACTGAGGGTATGGCAAATACCCTTCGGAAGTGCCTTGCCCCTGCCTTGTGATGCGTGGGGATGCTGCAAACCTCCAGTGGGGACCTGAGCTTTACTCTGTGCTCACGGCCAGGCCGCGCTCAGGCACCCATGGGTGCTGACTCACGATGGCGGGGCCACCTACCGGAGCACCACCGGGCCCGCGGCAGCACCTGGCTCACTCTGGAGGTCTCGCAGCCAGTGCTGAGCAGGCCCTGGCCTGTTTGGGCTGGGAGATCTAACGAGATCACAGCCGGGGCCGGGGGTGATATGGCCGCAGGCCATCATCTTACATAAAACCATACATTTGCATAATGTGTTTTACAAGATTAAAACTGAGGAAACTTTTT